AGGTATCTAAAATCAGCCACTTCTTCTAATTTTTCGTCTCCTATCTTTATATTCGCTCTTTCCCTACTTTTTCTTCCCTTGCATACCAGTATTTTAGTTTTAAAAAATAAAAAATTTCGAATACATTTTTCTTATTCAATTATCATGTCTTTCTCAGAAGAATCCATAAAAAATTCTGAAACATTATATTTCTTTTGTATGAAAAGCATCATTTTCAATGATTTTCAGTTTCATAGAATTCCTTAGATTTTTTCACAGTTTTTCCTAGTTTTTTTTTCCGTCATGGTACCTACGCGAAACGTTTGGTTTTTTAAAAATCGTATGTATTTGTCTACGAAAGATGTTTCTTGCAGCATTAGCTTTTGTACCTAGGTACATGCTTTGTCTGGTATCAATTTTTTTTTCTCTTTAAAAGTTTTTGTGACAATAACGAGATTGTAAAATGGGTTAACTGTTAACTTATTGAGATTCTCTCAAATAAAATTTTTAACTTCCTTTAGTTTCTACGCGAGTATCCATTTTAAGAAGGTAAATAACAATTTAACAAGTGCGTGTTTGACTAACTCTCACAATTCCTTCAATCAACTGCCTTTTACAATATCTTGATCCATAATATTATAAGGAGAAAAATAAGTACAAACAAATATTTTTATTTTTGTAAATGTTTATAAATTCTAAATACAAATTCCGCTTCTTTCTTTTCACGATTTGGCATTTTAGAGATGAATTCGAGTTGAGGATAAGAATGAGGGTTTATTATTAAAAACAATACTTGTTTGCTTGTAGTGGAAGATTTCATATTATATTACGCATATAATTATTAACTTGCCAAAGATGAAACATCGGTGTTTGCAATATTGCAACTTTGGTTTCTAAAATTACATTCCTAATATTTCAGATTAAAACATAGTTTTGAATTAAAGATTTTAGGAGTTAAAGTGTAAAAAGATATTATTTTGTACAGATAATTGTAAATAATTAGTTGTACGAGACAGATCTGCAAAATTTGACTTGATGGAGCTGTTAAATATGAACACACGAAATATCATATTTTCTTTGTATTAAAACATGATTTTCCGTTTCATAAAATTCCTTAGAATTTCTCACAGTTTTTCTGCCAAAAATCACGCTCTCTTAGAAATGCTAAATNATGTTGATCGCGTCTTCGATGTATATAGATTAAGTAGTAGCGATGACAGTGTGCATCCCTGTCTGACTCCCTTCCTAATATTTACTTCTCTACGTTGTAGCTCCAGCTCTATAACTGCCTGTTGCACCCCTATATTTTTAAGTGTATTAAACATCCTGTCCCACTTAACATTGACAAAAGCTTTTTCTAAATCTACAAATCCTATATACGCACTCTATCTTTTTTCTATCGTTTTCTCTATTGTTACCCGTAAAGCTAGAATGGCCTCCCGCGTTCCTCAATTTCCTCTAAACCCAAATTGATCTTCCCCTAACAGTTCTTCCGCCTTTTATGCCATCCTCAAATTATATACTTTTGCTTCTACCAATGACTTTCTTGTTTTTTTTTTGTAGCTATTTTATTATTTGTATTTCTGATTTCTTTTTTACAGGTTTGATATAAAACACCACTCTGATCGCCCCAAAGTGAAGATCGAAGCTATGTAAGTTGCAATTTTTTATACATGCGTGCGTGTTTACAATTTACACGTACTTACAATAGAAATTTTACTCACCGATAACCCGATTCATCAGCAATGTAATGAGTCATATGAATATTTCCGTCGGATTCTACGTAACCATAACTGCCCGTAACTGTTCCATTGGGATGTCTCATTTCGTTTTTGAACTGAACATTGTTCGAACCCAAGTCTTGTATGTCGTACCCAAAGGAATAAGTTCCGGTATGGGAAGATTCTTTGTACGCGTTATACTGTGACCAGTCTAGAAAAGATTGTTCTATTTGAACTGGGGACGTTTTTAATACGTATGTCATACTTGTAGCAAACAGGGAGAAGATTATCTGTAAATAAGAAAATTAGATGTAACAACTAAAAAATATTTAGAATCGTTGGGTTACAAATTACGTAAACATAAAACTAATCTAATAAGAATCTACCTAAATTTTATAAAGAGGTAAATCTTTTTTTGTCTTTTGTTTGTCGGTGGTAATCTCTGAAATTACTAAACTAATTCTAAGAATTCTTTGATCAAGATAATAAGTTGCATTTTATTTTAATATTGTTAGATTTTATCTTTGACAATGGTGAATCACCAAAAATGATCTACTTGGAATCTAAAACCGCAGTCATAATAGTAAATATCGTTGTTATATATGTACACGTTCACACATTCAATGCTTTTTGTTATTTTTTGTACAAAGCTAACTTGTTTCCCACTATAACTCCTCCCGAAACTACTTAACTTATCATATGCTTCGCTACGTTGTAAGTTTTTCAGAAGTTCTAGTATATTTGTAACTTCTGAAGAAGAGTAAAATAAACAAATACNTTAACATGGAGATGCAATAATATTGAAAACGTATGTTCGTCCATGTTATTTAACACACACAAATGTAAACCCATACTGATACACCAATACTATCTATACACCATATGCATTCTCGGATGCACTTCATGTTCTTTGTGCAATTTACAACGTTCTTGTTATCTGCATAGACTAGTTCATGTAATCGAGACTTCCCTTATGTGTGTGGCCGCATTTATCATTTACTAAGATCACCACGATGGAGGTAGTAGATGCTACAATCTAGACGTGTAACATTCTCCTATGTATGCATGTGCAGTATACAATCTCGATGGCGAATGGAGAAAAAATCGGGAGAAAATACGAGGCATCAAGTAACCCATGGATTTTTCTTAACTACGCGTGCTGTAGGTCGAAAAATAAACCTTCCAATACTAAGACTATTTTCCCTATGACACATGTAATAAATAATAATAATAATAATACTCAACCCTACCAACATTGAGCATCTTTAAAAGTAACTTTAAAAAAAATGAATGCAAAGTAAAACTCAGTTTCTTTACATGTTTTGTTTTAGAAAGCTAACAATAGGTACTTTTTTCATCGAATCCCTTTCAGAAGATTGTATCTTTTGTTTTTTAAAATGTTGATTGAAATCAATGAACGTAAAGATCAAGAAGCTCACTTACCAAAGATAATTGCTTTAAATGTCCCATTATTTTGAGTCACTTTCACGTTAGATATCGCAGGATAAAGCACATACAAGGTCAAGGGACTTAGGACCAACAAATTTATACGTCGAACACTCCCGTGGAAGTGGTAGAGGTGGAATAGCCAACACATAAGAGTAAATAACTGTCACAAAATAGTTAAAATCCTATATTATCTATTATCCCACTAGAACTAGTTCTTAGAACATGTAAATTCTACTTAGTAATTTGTTGCTGACTGCGATATTTCTGCCGTTTTGTTTTTACCTTCTTTCTGTCTAATTAAAAAAGTACATAGAGACATACTGAAGCAAACTAGGTAATTCGGAGAATTACTACTTCTAAAACCAACCAGTTTGCTATTTCCACAAATGAATTTATTACGGTTACCTGTAAACGTCTCGAATATTTTTGAAAAATGTAAAATTATATTATAAAATGTGACCATCGCATAGTTTAGGTTTTATTATTATGAAGTAAAAAAAATAACATTAGCAAATGTCTGTGTCTAATACATAATCATGCCCTGATGTCACCTTTTAGATGTTTATGTTTGCTATATGTTTTCACTGCTCATTCATATAAAATAAAAATGTTAAATATATATTTAGCTTAAGGGAAGCATTAAATTCAAAAGTAGTTCTCTGAATGACTGTATGTTAAATCAATAAAGTAAATTGTAGTGTGGAATCAAAGCAAGATTAGGGTAACAGTTTTTACAATTACACAACATCAGGCTTTGATTCTAAGCAAATATAGGTAAACCGTAAAATATCATTTTGGTTTTCATAATATTTACAGAACTTTTCATACTATTTTATATGTATTTTTCTACTCATTTAGACGAATTATGATCATAAATCGGAATTTAGGAATGTGTAAACCAGAACCCTGTCATATTATACCTTACTCGACCTTAGATGTGGTTTATTTGAAATGAGTATGTTTAAAATACAAAATATCTACTAATATTTTGTACTTTAAATGACTTTCTCTGAATAGATGTATTATAATAGATTTATGTTTTCATTTGGATATAGTTTTGAAACTTTTTGCATATTTTAAAAACTAGAATGGCTTAGTTTCCACCGTAGTGGAGTCAAGTTGAGTTTTCCCATTATATTATTTTTATATGCTTAATACAAAAACACCAAAGTCCTGATTGGGTAATAAGATTTAAGTGGATTCCACAGTAAAACAGTATTTATCGAGTCAATAATGACTCAGTTAAGATTATAATTTTTGTTCTTGCGATATACAATATTATTGTCATAATCGAATTTGATGCACTGACCTAAATGATAGGAAATGGACACAGAGGTTTAAAAGTTTCTATTATTTAGTTTGACGAAAAAATACTTGTATTTTTTGATTGCTTAGGTTACAATAGATAAAGACAATACAATCAAAGTGAGTGTTGCGGATATGTCTTTTGCTCTGACGAAAGGAATGAGGGCCTAGGTGTGATAAACTTAAATAGAAGATTTTTCTCTTGAACGAGAGGATTCCAACAGGTAGGACTTCCATCACTATGTTCCTTTTCGTCTTAGCTTTAATTTGATATCCCGCACCCCCTATGGCTGTGTGGTCTAGGGTTTGAATAGGTTTAGGTTAGGTAATATTTATGTTTGCAACCAAAATAGATATTACATCTTAAAACTAATTTATTTCTTTGTTCTTTCCCTTCATGCTACTTTTGTATGTTAGAACTTTTCCCTCATAGGGGTCCATCCATTGATATGATCTAGCCCCTGACTGACATGTCCAGATACTGAACTGTAGCTAATTTGTTAATAAATTACAAAAAAACAGCTTCCAAAAATATCAAAAGCGTATTATGTTACAGAACATAAGGACGTATATTGCAAGTTCAATTTCAAATAGATTTTGTAACAATAATTTTTCTCATCTTTGCATTCAACTGTAGTATTCCATTTTTAAATTTGAAAACTCCATATTGTACCTTCTCTGCAACAAGACTAAAGATATTTTGAATGAAATTCAACAGAATCATTTTAAGGGTTTTGAATCTTTGCTAGGTATTATTAATACACCCTGTATAATAGCAGCCTTCTTGCGTTAAGCCTCTTATAAAAGTGATACAACAATAAAACTTTTACGTTCGTCATTTGAAACTTAAAGTGAAAGATTAAAAGAAAAATAAAATATTTTTTAAAGCGTCGTGTTGGTATAAATTTTATAGATATACTTGAGGTCCAGATAATGTAACATGTCCTTAACATGGAGATGCAATAATATTGAAAACGTATGTTCGTCCATGTTATTTAACACACACAAATGTAAACCCATACTGATACACCAATACTATCTATACACCATATGCATTCTCGGATGCACTTCATGTTCTTTGTGCAATTTACAACGTNACGATTTTCCTGCTTTTCCATTTTTACGAAAACCACAGAGGCGTCTTGTTCAGCGTGCTGTCAAACCTACACTAGCAAGGAGATCGGGCTGAAACTATAGCTACAAGCTATCCAAGGATGGTACTATAGAATGTCACCTCAAGGTAGGCCTAGTGGCGTCATCTCTTGGTTAGGCCGGAAACTTATCAATCCACCCTCGTACTTGAGGTCCAGATAATGTAACATGGAGATGCAATAATATTGAAAACGTATGTTCGTCCATGTTATTTAACACACACAAATGTAAACCCATACTGATACACCAATACTATCTATACACCATATGCATTCTCGGATGCACGTACTTCATGTTCTTTGTGCAATTTACAACGTTCTCGTTATCTGCATAGACTAGTTCATGTAATCGAGACTTCCCTTATGTGTGTGGCCGCATTTATCATTTACTAAGATCACCACGATGGAGGTAGTAGATGCTACAATCTAGACGTGTAACATTCTCCTATGTATGCATGTGCAGTATACAATCTCGATGGCGAATGGAGAAAAAATCGGGAGAAAATACGAGGCATCAAGTAACCCATGGATTTTTCTCAACTATGCGTGCTGTAGGTCGAAAAATAAACCTTCCAATACTAAGACTATTTTCCCTATGACACATGTAATATGTTAGATAGTTATTGTAAAATAAAATTAACAATTAAAGATATAAACACTCAATAGTGTGAGCATTGAATAATGAAAATCCCTCATATTGTGTATAGCATATTAATTATGCTAGATCGCCGTATACCGTGACAAACTACTTTCGGTTATTGAAACGAATGTCAATTGTCCTTAAAAATCGATAATAGTTCGCCGTTGCTTTTGGGTCATTGCTGTTGTTGTAATTCCCCGATATATTTGATACTTCCCCAGTCATATTTGTTAGAGAGATGTTGTTTTATTCGTGTATTCATCTTAGATAGGTACCCATAGGGTGGACCAAGTTGGACACATTTAAAGGAAAAACTAATACCAATATCTCATTATCTATAATAATGTCAAAAATACGGTGCGAAATATGCATTTTCGAGAAATATCTATAACTATTTTCCTGACAAAAATTTTTGATTTTTGTAGTTACATAGAATTTAATGGCATAAAGTAATTTTCTTTTTAATTAATATAATGCAAAAATTGATTTTATATATTTATCTATATTTTAAGGATGCTCAACTATTGAAATATACGATATAAGACACTTAATACTTTTCCCAAACCGTTTCCTAAAAGTCGCATTTTATATATTTCGTATTCCTTAATTCCAATTAAGTGGGGACAAACAAGGATATATTGTTTCAGTTCCTGAATGCATGAACGACCTTACTCAATATTCCTTTCCGAATTAATTTTAATTGCATTAGAGTTAGAAATGCATAACTTTGGTATATATAAATATAAAGCTCAATTCTAGAGTTTTTTTTGTAATTTATAAATAAGTCCCTACGGGAGTTAGGTCCGATGACCTTGATGACCAAGGAACAGGACCTTGCGTGCATGTAAAAGAATTAAAAACAGCTGTAATTCATGGTTTGCACCCTTAAGTCGAATTGAGCTAATTCAGAAAAAATATTGAAAGGCTTTGTCGTTCATGCAAATAGGAAGTTAAAACACATCATGTAGGAAAAGATATTGGTATTTGTTTGCTGTATGTTGTTACTTTGTTGTTTTTTACTTAGATTATTGCTAATTAAGCTGGCATAACGTTAAGGTATTTTAATTTTAAATAGTACCAGGTAACTTGCTTTTATTGTAACAGTGAGGTGATTTCTTAATTGAAATTAAAGAATACAAAATCTATAACGTGCTTCTTTTTGAAAATGCTCTAGGAAAAACATGAAGTGTGTATTACACTAACTTGTGGAAGAAATGTATAACAAAATTATAAATGCATGTTATGTTGACTTGCGGATTATTTGCTGTTTTTATTTTAAGAGAAATATCTCTTGTTTGTTTAGAATAAATAAATGCCTAATCAAAATACAGAGATTCTTATCGTTTTATAATCAAATCGTTTTCTCTTTTTAATGTCCGTCACTCTGTTATAGTTAATAACATAGCAACATTTGTCTGTAACGCTGGTGTCGCCTATTAATACAAAATTTTTGCAATCCTTATAAAGACAAATTCATACCACGTTCTTCTAAATAATATAAAAAACTGACTTCGTATCAAAACGTTTGCCTTTTTTGTACATGAATAATTATTCCAGTTTTTTGTAGATGTTGAAAAGGAAGTATTTCCCACAATTTGCCCGGCATGTCGTCGGACATAAAAAGATTATCAAAAGATTTCGATTAAACGAAAGAAAGTATGATGATTATCATGCTAATAAGAATAGAGCTTAATCATTAATCATACTAACTGTAAACGAGTTTGTTTTTAGTTTAAGATGATGAGAGGGATCAAAGAACCAATTTGTAAATCAAATTTATCCTTAACGAAATAATTGCAGTAATTAATAACGTCACACTCTTTCGCGTCAAAAAGGAAACTAAGGAAATGAAGTCGTTTTAAAACATAAAGGATATTGTAGTAAAAGTAATTAATATTTTACATAAAACATAAACAACAATGAATGGAATATCTTGTAGGCTTTCACGGTCGATTTGCGATGAACCGAATACGGTTATAATTAGGGGGTTATTTTGCCCCTTATCCCTTGTGTTTATATATGAGATATCAGTTTCGGTATGACCCTTATTATAGCAATATTTAACCTAACCTTATCTAGCATACTCAACCAACCTTATCCCAGTTCAAAAATACTGCAAATTTGATCACTAATTATTTAATATTAAAGTCATAATTAGTGTTCAATTTTTTTTGTATAATTTATTTTTTGTACAACAGAGTACTTTTTAGTTGTTCTATGTTAGTGATCCGTGACTTCTTCCAAACCAATTTTTACCGTTAATAACAAATGCAATTGTTATAACTAACACAAAGACTTCCATCTTTTAAAAACGTTTTATTTATTCGCATTATTATCTTTATTAATAAAGCAGAAAAGCTAATAATATAAACTAATAATAAATACGCTTATAAGTATAATTTTATTGTAAGAATTGAAGAACTTAAATAATACAACAAAATACAAACAATCAGGGGCGCAATAAGGGGGGTCCNCAGATATGTAGAATACAACAGAAAAATTTAATAGAGCCTTTCACATATGTGATACGTAACAGTGAGGCGCGCAACAAGGGGGCGGGGTCCGCGGGTGCCTGAGCACCCAATCGATTGGGTTGGGCACCCAGTTAATTCCAGTCGATTCAGATAATAAGTATAATTTTATTGTAAGAATTGAAGAACTTAAATAATACAACAAAATACAAACAATCAGGGGCGCAATAAGGGGGGTCCGAGGGTGCCTGAGCACTCACTCGATTGGGTTGGACACCCAGTCAATTCCAGTCGATTCAGATAATAACCCAACTTGAAAGTTTGGTTCAAATAGTTCCACCTCGTAAATGAACAGCCGAACTCGATCTTTTCAAGTATAAAAAATTCAATACATTGGTGATCTTTTTTTTTTTAATCATTTATAGTATTGTTATGGGAGCACCCAGTCAAACTGTAACGTTGTTGCGCTTCTCCAATCATAGGAAAAATAAAGAAAACAATCGCCAGATTAGGAGGAAATCGTTTTATCCAGTAAGAATTTCAACATCCTTTTATAAGGATTCTAGGTTTTACCAAACCAAGCCAAAGATCATCAACGACCACAAAACTAATTTTTTCTATCCCTCGGGAACAGTATTTTTTTCTATGTATAAGGTATGCTATGTTCTGACAATTTATGTACAAAATTTCATGATTAAACAAACAAACTATTGAATTTGGTGTTTTCAGAATAAAAAGGAATAAAAAATAGTCACAGATAATATTTTATATTTTGTATTTGTGCTTTAAATAATTACCATCTGACAACGTCAGCAAGTAGCTTATCATTGTTCTCATTGGATAGTTATTTATTTTGCTTACTGCTTTTGTTTTATTAACTTTCTTTGAATAGGCGTATCCTCGAGAACTACTTCTGAATAATAATAGGCTGTCGTAGGCCAAGTACATAAAATAGTTCGTCTAAAAATTGCTTTCCTAATACGTAAAGTTTTCTACCTACAGTAGTTGCATTTATCTTAAGCTGTCGACCGTAATAACTGTTTTAAAATTGACATTTACTGCGCTACACCGCGGATAACTACTATACGACCAACACGTTTTTTAATCTATTGTAATACAGTTTAGTTCGATATAAATGTTAATCTAAAACTTGATTGAATTTACTACTTGTGTACTGCACGCTGAGATCGTATTTACACATTCCTCTTTTGAAAAGTATTCCCTGAACGAATTAAACAAATAATAGGGCTACAATAGCTAAAGCTAAACGACGTAGGGACATGGTAATTAAATATGATAATACTCTATACATTTTAAACCTTTTTGCTAAGAAAATCTTTTTTTAAATGACCGAAAAGTTTATTTAAAAAACTTGTTTTGTTCATTGCTGAGGTCAAAAATATCTTTTAAAGCTTAAACATGGTACCTTTTATAATAATGCAAGAGTCTCTTCCTAATACTTTTGATGTACTAATTAATTACTAAAGTAATTTCCCACTTATAATTTTGAAAAAATTTTTAAAGACAAGTATAAAACAAAGTCGCTTTCCCGCTGTCTGTCCCTATGTATGCTTAAATCATTAAAACTACGCAACGGATTTTGATGCGGTTTTTTTTAAAAGATAGAGTGATTCAAGAGGAAGGTTTATATGTATAATACATGCATAATATAGTAGGGAAACACTGATAATTTTAGAGGTTTCTAATGTGATGTCGTAAATAAACACATTTTTTGCGCTTACATTGCAAACGCTGGCTAAACCCTACGAGATAGATCAAAATAATGTACTACAATATTGTACATCTTAAAAAAGTCTACAAAAAAGTCCGCGATGATATATGTCTATCTCTTAGGGATAACCCACAATAACCATTTTTATCCTTTACTTTTTATGAGAAATAATGGATTATTTACGAAGCGATTGTAAGCAATACAGCATTAATTTTTATCCAATTAAGTACCTACCTTAAATACATTGTGCATTTAATATAGATCAATATGGCCCTTTACAGCATCTAATTTAAATGAATATTTTCGAAGATATTACAGATTTAAAATGCAGGGACATAGCGGTTGCGGCGGTACCGGCCGGTTTGTNTGTACAAAGGTTATCAAAACAAAACATGAAAGAAACATAAATGCTAATGGGCTAAACTCACGAATACAGTGTTGTGCAAGTAACATCATATTTTACATAGATATCGCAGTATGTACACATGCACACAAACAAACATGCGAGATACAGATACATAAGTGGGTATGTATAATTGATTAAGAAGATAGACAATCAGACAGATGCAACAGCATCGTAGACGGTTTGTGCAATACTATCTAAGCAATCAATCCCACCATTCATAACCATCATCAACCAAACATACCACGATGACGTTGATGAAATTCTTCTTGCACAAATAATGTGCACCTGTCATTAAATACTAACTAATAAGGTATATGATTAGACTTAATGATGGTAGTATCCATGCGATTCTATGGGAACGGCTATTTTCGCATGCTGAGCTGGATGGACCGCGTGACCGGACTTGGACACAACCGCGTTGAATCCGTTGTGATCGTCCGCGGTGTATTCCACTTTTCGGACAGTGCCATCGGGCTCGACCAAAGAATACTCGCCTTTCACCACGTCTCCATCGCGTTCTTCCGATTGCTCCTTGATATCGCCTGTGTGACCATCTTTAACACCATAATTGAAATGGTATTTAGGATATGCCTACAAATAAAAAAAACATTTACGGATTATTTCTCGTATAAATATCAAACAGAAGAGTTCTTTAAGTCTGTACAATTAACGGATTTTGAGGTTTTTAAAATCCTTATGCATGTAAAATGATTCGCTCTCGTCGAACAAGAATCTGATAATGTTCCAGCAATTTGTATAACTCCAGGAGTCAGTGTAATGGATCATCTAAGTGATGAATGAATATGTTATACTAACAGATCAACTTAGAGTTAGCACTGAATACCACAAATTCTAGTTTTTTTTATGTTTTAATCAGCTTATACATGGTGGTTGAAATTCGACGCTCACTATAGGGATCTTATTTCGGGCAAAGTTGCCTAATGAAGTGTCCAATATCTAAAAAAATGCACAACATCCATTTTGATCAATACTTTGAATTTTGTTTAACTCCAAATTTTTTGAGTATATATAATTAAATCAATTGGAAGATAACGGTTGCATTCTCATTACAGTTTGTCAACTTCATGCATCTGTTCAATCAGAGCAATCATTTGCTTTAAAACCTTTAGATCAGGTTGTTGTATAGAACTAGACATATAAAATGTAGCTTAGGATTAAAAAGAACACTTGGCTTGTTTCACAGATTTTTATTAATTCTGACGATCGTTTCGGTTACAACACCATTTTCAAAGAGTATTAAATTACAGTAGTATGTTTAGTATGTTCAGGGGGTATCTTTTGAAGATTTCCCCTTCTCGATAATAATCTAAACAAAACAAAAATATACATATTTAGTATCATCATTGCACCCGTGCGAAGCTAGGGCGGATCGCTAGTTACTAATATTTGTTTGCATTTTTGGAATTTTTTAAAACCAAAAGTACAATGGGCCCCCCTTTACTCCTTAAAAAATTATTTTTTATTATTCAAAAATTATTTCAAATCATGATCACAAGTTGATCAATCAATAACATGAACATCGTATTACATTCCTCAATATTTACGAACAGTAATCTAATTCCCCTATCTTTCCTTTTCTTATTGATCCCTAATTTCCAGTTTTGTTAACAACTCCTCATTTCTAACCTTTTCAACCCACGACATTTTTACCATTTTCCCATAACACCACCATATCTAACTTTTTATTTTATGTCACTCTCCTCATTCTCGTTTCTCATTCGTATAGAGTTGTACACCAAGCATATATCTTAAAATTAATATTTAATATAATCTTTTTTGAATTTCTAGACTAACCTTTCGGAAAAATAGCAATGTTTTCTATTATTAAAAACAACTCAACCCTGTGCTATTCATTACTACCACTTTATCCATCCTGAGTTACCTGATTCGTGGACTTCTTACTTCGGCTCTATTTTTCATTTTTTTTTTATTATATTCTCAATGTATTGCGAGTCTCAGGTAAGAAACTGCATATCATTCATTGGTCTAAAAAGTGGTCAGTTCACCATTAGAATAAAAATAAATGTTTTAGAACCCTGAATAGGTCTTGAACAGCCCTTATTAGCGCAACTCCTTTCCCATATCTAAATTGTATGTTTCTCTTTTATCAAATACTAAGAGTAATTCTCGGCGGTGCCCGGGCCGTACATATTCTAAAATGTACGATGTATGAATGGGGTGAGATTGTTCCTTATCTTGTATTATCAAGTGGTAGAAGAAAATTGCAACTTGTCCCAGAAGATAAAGTAACGTATTTTTCACGATTATTAAATTAATTATTAATAAAATCATCATTTGAATGCATACCTTCCTTAGTTCAACCCTAAAAAATAATTAATTTCATCGACTGTTGCAGATAAATGCAGAGGGTGTCTTAATATGATATATAAAATTCCTCTTCAAAATTATTTATTTTAATATAAAATAATACTTAGGTAGGAAATACAAACAAAATTATCTAGTAATAAAATCTAATCAATGAAAATGAAAATAAATATAAAAATTGAAACGACAATGAAGATAGGCATAGGTATTATTAGGTTGAGATTGGACAGATCCGTACTGGCTGATTTACAAATTTAACCCCGACTATAAACGTAGTGCAATGTACCTAATATGAATGTAAGAAAACGTACATAAACCTAATTGGTTGTGTACAAAGGTTATCGTAACAAAACATGAAGGAAACGTAAATGCTAATGGGTTAAACTCACGAATACAGTGTTGTGCAAGTAACATCATATTTTACATAGATATCGCAGTATGTACACATGCACACAAACAAACATGCGAGATACAGATACATAAGTGGGTATGTATAATTGATTAAGAAGATAGACAATCAGACAGATGCAACAGCATCGTAGACGGTTTGTGCAATACTATCTAAGCAACCAATCCCACCATTCATAACCATCATCAACCAAACATACCACGATGACGTTGATGAAATTCTTCTTGCACAAATAATGTGCACCTGTCATTAAATACTAACTAATAAGGTATATGATTAGACTTAATGATGGTAGTATCCATGCGATTCTATGGGAACGGCTATTTTCGCATGCTGAGCTGGATGGACCGCGTGACCGGACTTGGACACAACCGCGTTGAATCCGTTGTGATCGTCCGCGGTGTATTCCACTTTTCGGACAGTGCCATCGGGCTCGACCAAAGAATACTCGCCTTTCACCACGTCTCCATCGCGTTCTTCCGATTGCTCCTTGATATCGCCTGTGTGACCATCTTTAACACCATAATTGAAATGGTATTTAGGATATGCCTACAAATAAAAAAAACATTTACGGATTATTTCTCGTATAAATATCAAACAGAAGAGTTCTTTAAGTCTCTACAATTAACGGATTTTGAGGTTTTTAAAATCCTTATGCATGTAAAATGATTCGCTCTCGTCGAACAAGAATCTGATAATGTTCCAGCAATTTGTATAACTCCAGGAGTCAGTGTAATGGATCATCTAAGTGATGAATGAATATGTTATACTAACAGATCAACTTAGAGTTAGCACTGAATACCACAAATTCTAGTTTTTTTTATGTTTTAATCAGCTTATACATGGTGGTTGAAATTCGACGCTCACTATAGGGATCTTATTTCGGGCAAAGTTGCCTAATGAAGTGTCCAATATCTAAAAAAATGCACAACATCCATTTTGATCAATACTTTGAATTTTATTTAACTCCAAATTTTTTGAGTATATATAATTAAATCAGTTGGAAGATAACGGTTGCATTCTCATTACAGTTTTTCAACTTCATGCATCTGTTCAATCAGATCAATCATTTGCTTTAAAACCTTTAGATCAGGTTGTTGTATAGAACTAGACATATAAAATGTAGCTTAGGATTATATTTAACTTAAGACCTTTTAAATAAAAGTAAAACAAAATACTAGTATGCAAGGGAAGAAAAAGTTGAGAAAGAGCGAATACAAAAATAGGAAACGAAAAATTAGAAGTTTACTTTTGGGTGCTTCATTCCCAATAGTCACTAAGGCAGTACCTTCGGGAGGTATGGTATGGCAAAAGACCCTCTTCAGCCTCCTTTCAGGAATCTTGAGAATAGGTGGGTGGTCGTTCGGATGAGAAAGATGAGACGAACGAAATGAAGACAGAAGAGAATGGAAGATTATCTGTGGAATATTACTGACCCAGCATTAGTCTAAGTGATCCAAGGAAACCACAGAAAACCTTGGACCATGGCAGACAGACCCGGAATCGAATTAACGTCCGAATGCTAAGCAATGGTCTAACCTCTAGTCCATGCCGCTCGAACAGTTAGAAGGAGTGCCTGATTTTAGGTATTTAGGAAGTCAGATAAGTTAGGACGGAAGGAGTAGTAGGTATATAAAGTGAAGAATAGCGCAGGGTCGAGTCATCTTTAACAAAAAAGAAGTCACTTCTCTGGTCACAAACAGTTAGTCTAAAAATCCGAAAATATTGTTAAAGGTATACGAAAGGAGTACGGAAGCGAAACATGAACGATGGGCACGGCGGGAAAAAAGGGTTAGAAGCGTTCGAAATGTATTGTTACAGGCGAATTATGAGGATACCGTGGATAGAGAAGGTTAGAAATGAAGAGGTATGAAGAATAGAAGAACAGAGGATTCTATGGAAGTCGACAAGAAATAGGCGAGATAGGTTGGTAGAACACCTTCTCAGGCATGAAGGTCTAGTCAGAGACATATTAGAGGCAGAAACAGAAGTTAAAAAGAGTAGAGGTAGACCTAGATTAAATTACTGTTCGCAAATAGTTAAGGATGTGGGATATTCTAGTTTTAGGGAAATGCGAAGATTAGCTCAGGATAGGAAAGAGTGGAGGTACGTGTCCAACCAGTGTTAGGGCTGACGACCTTATATTGATGATGAAGACCCTTTTAAAGACAATGTTTTTTAAATTTTCTCGCTGTTGTCAATGAAAAGGATTTAACTATTATTAGTATAAACCCTATTGTCCTTTCATAGTAAACAAAATTTATGCTGGATTCTCTTAAAAGGAGTTTAATGTTTAATATCCTGGAATTTATGTAATCCACATAAGTACGGAAGTATATTTCTTCTCAGATTCTACACATTCTTACTAATCGACTTCAATCGCCCTTTCCTACATACAATTGGCCGGAGTTGGTTTACTTGTGCATACATAAACGTAATAAAATTGATAGCTGTCGAACGATCGCTATTATTTATGCGAGTACGCAAGACTTCTACTGATTTACATACTTATACATGCAATACATTGAAGTCTTTCGGTTCAATTCCTTGTCATTAAATAGGATCAGATGCATAGCCAAGAAGTGAGTGCTCTCTTTATTACATCACTACCATCACTACGAGACGCATTGATTTAATGATACAATGATACATGATATTTCGATCGTTATTTGCGATGCCGTAATAGGATTACGTATTTACAGGTATTATACGTATCACTACTGAATATACAGGGCGTTACATGAACTACGAATACCGTATACTTAATAGGTACTATAGGTAGTTTACATACAAGCAGTTTTCTTTCACTAAGTTTGGAGTTTTACAAATTTTAGTATAGAAATAGCACACAACGTTGTTATCTATATTAATTCTCCACCGGAAAGAACTATTGTGTGACGAGATAATTATTGTGTTGTTATGGAGTTACAATATTAATAATATTCATCTCCTCAAATTACAAACTGTTAAGCTAGATATCTAGGAAGTAAGATAAGTCAGGACGGAAGGAGTAGTAGGAATATAAAGCAGAGGATAGCGCAGGGTCGTGCGACCTTTAATAAAAAGGAGTCACTTCTATACTCGCGAACGGTTAATTTGGAAATTCGAAAATGTTTGTTAAAGAGGTATGTTTGAAGCGCGGCGTTGTACGGGTGCGAAACGTGGACGGTGGGCGCGGCGGAAAAGAAAAAGTTAGAAGCGTTCGAAATGTGGTGTTACAGGCGATTGATGAGGATACCGTGGATAGAGAAAGTTAAAAGTGAAGAGGTATTAGAAAGAATAGGAGAACAGAGGACTCTATGGAATTCAATAATAAATAGGCGAGATAGGTTGGTGGGGCACCTTTTCAGGCATGAAAGACTAGTCAGAGACATATTAAAGGCAGAAACAGGAGTTAGGAGGGGTATAGGTGGACCTAGATTAGCTTACAGTTCGCAAATCGTTAAGAATGTGGGTTGTTCTAGTTTTGAGGAAATGCGAAGTGTAGTGAAGATATATTAATTTTGAAAATCCAGTAAAGAATAATAAAAAAAATTGGCTAGGAATGAAAGGTAGGATAGGTCTTAGGACTGACGACCTTATGATGATGATGATGATGACGGTAGGTCCGACTTTACCCAATCGATAGTCATATGTGAATTGTATAGAAATTCTTAAAATTTCAAGCTTAAGCATACCCATGTTTCCTTAAAAATTCACTAACCATTTTAGACCGACAGGTGGACAGAAACTCTTAGAAATGCAAGGAAAAAGAATATTGTACATATACAAATACAGAAACAGTGCATAATTATGTTTTATGTGCTACTGTGGGCGGGTTCGTCGCTTGACGCACTATTGATATCTCCAAAGAAATATCTACTTTTAAACCGAATTCCGGAGTCGTAGACCAACTAAATGTGCATGAAACCATCTCGATGATTTACTCTTTTAAAAAAAACAAGAAAACTTGAACCAAATCGATACGTAATTGCTGAAGGTATGCTTAAACGTATACACAAACAGAGGAATGGAGAACATATTTTCCAATTTTTGAAGTCTGTTAAGAATTTCTTCATACAGGTGCAATTGTTGCAAAATATTGACTGTCAAAAAGTTCTTCTTTCAAGTACAGAAGGTCTTGTTAAACAAGTTTAGGTGATTGAATAAATCTTTAAGTGCCTGTTTAATTTTCTTCTGTAGTTTAATCGAATTCTAATAGTTTAAATGCATTTCGTTGAAGTTGTTTGATAAGATCTTTTTTTTTCTCCTGAAGAAGTTTCTATTTTTAGAATCCAATTAAAAGAAACTAGTAAAACTGTACGTAAGCATTAACGAGCTAGAGGAATAGGTTTAGGTGATGTAACTGATGAAAGAAACAGTTGTTTGTTTAAATAATTTACCGGCTGGTAGTTACCTATATTTTTCAGGGAATAGTCTAGCCATTAAGAGCAACCTAACTTTCCAAATTATCCATAAAAGAGTGAAACTATAAAACAACGCTACCGTTATACTATAGAGAATGTAATACACTGAAACACTTGGAGCTCGCTGTGTCGGCCGCCGCTAATACCACTTACTAATATAACACACCGCACTCTTAACAAGCGTTAAGCGGTTAATGAAAAAGGAAATCAGAGCCGGATTATTACATTACTTAAAGACCAAAAGTACATGCAAAATTTTATCGGCAAATGAAATAAAAACTGATTAATATTTACAACTTAAAAGTATATATAAAAAAAGAATATACTTTTACTTATTTTCAATAGGAAAAGTACACTCCCGAGACGGTTCCATAATAACATGGATTATGATTTGATCATCAATGTGATTTGAGACATTTTTGGAGAAGTTAAACAAGAAAATTTAAAAAGAAATGTTTACAAAATATAATGAGGCAAATTGTTAAACCATTGTCAAGAACAATACGTTTTGTTTTACTCTTAAAAGGGTTCATATCATTATATTTTGGATATATTTAAAAGGGTTCTTATAAAGAAAAGTAAAAAATATTATTCAGTTTAGGTGATGTCAAAGGCCAAATAATTTTTAAATAAGAACAAAAGAAAAGTGTATGTTATATCATCATCATAGGGTTGTCTGTTCTAAGATTGGTTAAATACAATACCGCCTATCCTGAGCTTTTCTTCGCATTTCCTTAAAACTAGAACTTCCCACATGCTTAACTCTTTGTGAACAGTAACCTAACCTAGATTTACCTCTACCCCTCTTAACGCCGGTTTCTGCTTTTAATATGTCTCTAACTAACCTTTCAAGCCTGATTAGGTGTACTATCAGCCCGTCTGGCCTATTTTTATCCACTTCCATTCCGAAAATTTGATGTTATAAAACAAATAAATAATATTATATAAGTAATTACATATTCTCAGTATTACTACTCCGGTATTGAAAATTCATACATCTAATCAGACATTATGTGAGTGATTAATAGAGAGAAAAATGTTAGTATGATGAATTTCGTAACGGATAATACATTACACTATACTTTCTTATTTCTCGAATGTAGCTACTTGTCTGACAACAATTTATTTTTGTAGAAAATTTTAAGTTGCTACTTCAATGTTATTGTGCAATACACTTATACAAGAGTACTTGTTTTATTTCCTTATTTTGTGTATTGCAAATAAATCTTATACAGTATACAGTGGTAACGAGTTGATAAACAAACATAGGGATACTGTATTACAGCATGCAATTGTCAATCAAAGGGCGGCATCATCGTAAAAATACTACATTCTGGTATAGTCAAATTCGTACAAATGTCTTCAGTCATCTTTTGATACAAATAATAAACTAAAGCAAGTCCAACTGAATGTCATTTAAAACTATTGAGGGATGTTGCGCTTTGTTCAAAAAATTTTGAAAATTAGGCTGGTTTAAGACAGTTTTCAGTAAATTATGCAATTTCGCTAATGAGCATTTTGCCTTATATGCCTAAGTATTAATATGCAAGCGTCAAAACTTATTTTATTTTATTTTTTGGTTTTACTATAAAAGGAGAGAAATCAAACTTGTAAACATAATTCGAAAGACACTACGTCATAGATGTGTACAAAACAAAGTTTGTGCTTATGTTGATGTTAGGACATGTAAAATACAATTGAAATTAATTTATAATTAATACCAATTCAAAGCACCGTATAAGTGACACAAAGTTTACTTGTAAAAAGCATTTTTTAAACGGTTCAGTACCGCGTAAGCGGTCCAGATCGCATCCCGACCGATGCAATACATTTTTTTTTCTTTCTTATTTTAGGTAAAGTTAATTGATCGAAAATCGATCACACGCGAGATTAGATATAATAATATAAGTAATATAACTGTAAGCATTTTAAGAACACTGAAAAATGATATTCTTTCATCTTTGATAATAATAAAAATTTTTAATCAAAAATTGTTACTCTTAAGTCAGAAATTCTAGATTCTTCATCGAAAAAATGCTTTTCGCCAAAGAATGGTAATTATTTACATTTTCACTCCACCTCCGTATTGTATTGATATGATAGGGATGATCAAGGTGGGTTATTAGTATATATACCCATTGGAATTTGTTGGGGGTGAGGTAGAGGAGTTGGTAGTAAAATTTACCCCCATTGGAGTGCAGGTGAAATTTGATCCTAGTCCCATGTGAAATTGGGGTTGCGCGGGATCATAAACGGGGGTTACTAGAGTACATCTTCGTCGAAATTAATCGGCTGTCGGGTGTTGTGGCAGAAGGGGTGGAGTTGAAAGATCGATAAGGTAATTATTCGTATGAGGTAAGCATCTGTCAAACAGGAGATGGTAGGGATGACGTAAAATAGTGTGAATGCTGTACTTTTGCTCCTGAAGCCAGGGAAAATACTTCGTACTTCCCACTCGGTAGGAGTATTGTACAAAAATATTTTCAGATAAGAGCAGAGAGGAAGGCGCAATGGGAGGAGGTGAAAAATCGGAAACTTGAAAACGTAACTAATACAAAAAAAAACTTTTGGGTGTTTCATTCCCACCAGCCAGTAATACTGGTGGGCGGGCAGTCCCTCCGGACTATGCCGGAAGGTAGGGCGGAAGGCCCTCTTCAGCCTGCTTTTAGGAATCGTGGGAATGGGTGGGTGGTGGTTCGGGTGAGAAAGATGAGACGGACGAAATGAAGACAGAAGAGAATGAAAGATTATCTGTGGAATATTACTGCCTCAGTATTTGCCTAAGTGATCCAAGGAAACCACAGAAAAACTTGGACCGAGCCAGACGGACCCGGAATCGAACCGGCGTCTTCCCGAATGCCAAGCAATGGTCTAAACCTCTAGGCCATGCCGCTCGGTCAACTAATACAACGTAGCCAAACCCTTACGTGACCTGACTTAATCTAACAAATTAAACTTTTTGCAGTGATTTTGGTCTGCAACCCCCCTAAAAGACACCCTCGCCCTCACCTTTTCCCTCACTCTTACCTCTACCCTCATCCCTAGTGTAATTTGATTGACTAATATTTCACTTGATTCAAGAATTTAATAACAAAGAACTTAAACAGTAATCGATCATGCATGAAATATTCCTAATCCAAAGATATCGTTTCTTGAGTGAATACACAGAAAGCCTAAATCACACATACCTACTGCGATGCTGTTTTACATTTTATGATCTTCATTTTTTTGTTTTAATGATTATAGATGTGAAAGTCAATTCAGCTTTCCAACATCTTATTCACAACAAGAAAAATTTCAAGATCATTGTCAATAATCAAACTTTATGGACATAATCAGCTGAATGCAGATCTTTACAGAAAGAAACGTTAACACGGCGTTATCCTCAGCTTATAGTGCATATAATGAAATAATTTGCATTTGTAATGACCAAGTACGTAATTAATTATAAACTTAATGTCTGTGTTTTAATAACACTTTCTCTATTTATCGACAAAATGATAAAATAAATAGTAGTTAATCATGCATATACAGCTCAAGAATTTTTATACCGGGTGTTTTAGGTTTAACGTGCCAAACATAAAATATGAATTCAGGACCCCAAACGAAAAAAAAGTTCTGTGAAGGTATATCTGAAAACGCTTCGTTAAATAATTACTCACTTTCAAAGATCGGGGGTTGGAATTTGGTTTTTAATTTTTTGTTAGGTATTAGGTACCTTGAATGACAAGAACTAACTGTAACAAAGAACTTGATTTGAACTAAAAAAACCTAACGAAATGGTAGTTTCTTTCTCAAAAAAAGCGTTAAATCAAGAACTTTGGATATAGTTTTTATGAGTTGATGTGAAAGTCAATTCAGCTTTCCAACATCTTATTCACAACAAGAAAAATTTCAAGATCATTGTCAATAATCAAACTTTATGGACATAATCAGCTGAATGCAGATCTTTACAGAAAGAAACGTTAACACGGCGTTATCCTCAGCTTATAGTGCATATAATGAAATAATTTGCATTTGTAATGACCAAGTACGTAATTAATTATAAACTTAATGTCTGTGTTTTAATAACACTTTCTCTATTTATCGACAAAATGATAAAATAAATAGTAGTTAATCATGCATATACAGCTCAAGAATTTTTATACCGGGTGTTTTAGGTTTAACGTGCCAAACATAAAATATGAATTCAGGACCCCAAACGAAAAAAAAGTTCTGTGAAGGTATATCTGAAAACGCTTCGTTAAATAATTACTCACTTTCAAAGATCGGGGGTTGGAATTTGGTTTTTAATTTTTTGTTAGGTATTAGGTACCTTGAATGACAAGAACTAACTGTAACAAAGAACTTGATTTGAACTAAAAAAACCTAACGAAATGGTAGTTTCTTTCTCAAAAAAAGCGTTAAATCAAGAACTTTGGATATAGTTTTTATGAGTTTTATAAATATAGATTAAAAACAATCCACTAAATGTTTTCCTGGCAGACAAAGGAATCGACATGTGAGAGTTCTTATTAGAAGTTTATTATTGCTTTTCACATACGGAACTCTCAAAATAAATTCCAGGATAGATTTAGGTATTACATTAACGCATATGTACGATTACAACAACGAAATTACTTTTTAATCGCCTGCCTGTTTTAAAACGTACTATCAATATCAAATGGATCATAAGAAGCAAAATTTTTATGGAAAATCACTTACCACTGGTTCAGCAATGACTTTATGTGCGGGGGCTGCGTGGATAAAGTGTGCGGGTGCGGGCTGATATAGTTGAGCGGCCTCTAATTCATGTCCCCCATATTCATGTCCCCCATATTCCACAGGACTGCATGCAGCTGCAGCGATAAGGCAAAGGGCAACGAAAGCCTAGCAATAACAACACAAAAATTTATTAACCACTCTTTTTGCAAATCTTGGGATAGAGTTAACCAAAAAGAATTTAACCGATTCAGTGGATTAAAAATGAACGATAAAATTCGGAAATAATAAAAAGAAATACATAATTCTTATCACCTTCATTTTAAACTTCTGCCTAATGTGTGTAAAGGAAGAAATGGTGAAGAGTTTAATACTAGCTTAACGAAATCGCGAATGGTATTTATACGTAGCATTTTGGGGTTCAATCCCACTACGAAAACCCCGGTAAATTGCGTTTCTAACAAGTGTTACTTTTGCAACACATGTCAACGTATCCTACCTTCAAAAGGTAGCCACATAGTTTGCCGGGTACGTAGAGATGAAAGTAGCAATTGCATTATACGTACCTACTACAGTTTGTATGTTTGTATCACATACGTACGAATGTGGATTGATACGTCGAATTGCTTACTACGTTCGTTGAGATAACTTTAAAGGTAGTTTGTAACAATACGTATTTAAAACATGCTATTATTTAATTGGACGACATGTCAACAAAGTTGCAATTATAAATGTAAAACATAAGCTTTGAAGTTTGCTGAAGATGCTAAAGAAAGTTGAATATGTTGAACCAACTAGTCTGCAAGAAAACCTGAACGAAATTTCAAAATACGAATAATTAACAAAAACTCATTTCTTAATTAAACAATAGACTCATTACGATAAATCTTTATTCATCCATAGTATCAATTTTAAAAATGACTTTGAAATTCTGCATACAGTAAACAAAAGCTTTAAATTGTATATTATTGTTTAATATTTGGGAAATTCATGTTGTAAAAATTTACTTGACACTAGTTACGTAAGAAATTGTTAAAACAGTTTGTTTCAAGCGAAACTTTTGAGGAAGCTACAGTACTGCAGAATCAATATTGTCAAGTTTGAAACAATTGAATTTTATGAAAATTATAGATACCAAATAGTGCTCTATTGGTAACTGTTTCTTAATCATTTTATAAAAGGAAAAATTAAAAAATTTATTTTCTGAAAGATTATTTTTAGCAGTAGCTTACGGAAATTTTTTCTTTATCACACATTGAACCCTTTACTTTCAGAAGCTAAAATATTCACTGTCATTATAGTTGAATCAATTTTCTTATTTCTCAATATAAGCCATTTTCGAAAGCTTATTTTAATGCATTATAAGAAACAAACACAACATCATAATTAAATAATACTCAAGAATAATGATGTTTATAATTAGCAACGGTTTTCGTAAACTGTTAAAATTTTAGTTATTACACATTTCTTCATATCCGTTATAACAGATACACAAATCTGCCTTATTATTTGTAAAACAAGTAATTGCAAAATTGCGGTATGTGTTTTTGTAAGGTTAGATAATGTAATAACAATTTTTTTGCGTGACTTATTGTGTGTTTCCTAATCAACCCTGAAAGCTCTAAGAGAATCTAAATCTTATCAAAGCAGGTTAAGGAATTTCTAGTTATATATGACGAGTGTAACTTATCAGGAAACTACTCATTGCTATGACCGTGCAGGGTGAATTTTCTAATTTGATACTCCCTTTATCGTTATAAAAAGTGATATAGTGAAAATTCGAAATAATGATTTACGTAACTTTTTTGTAATAATTTCAAATTTTTGTAAACCTGTTAGTATACAGGAGTGTAGTAAAATAATTGGAAGTGGTCTGTATTCTATCGAAACTGTCAGACGCGGATCGCGATTGCGATCTTTTTGGATCTCATCAGCGCGTCATAGACAGCTCCGACAGAACACAGACCAACTTTCACCTGCTGTCTTAACAGCGCGTTTTAGAAAGTACCACAAATGGCGCGATAAACGCCATCTGTAGTACGATGCTAATTTTTTTTTCTACTACAGATGGCGTTTACCGCGCCATTTGTGGTATTTTCTCAAACAGGAGTGTGTTTGAAGTACATTTTTTTAATGCAACACTTATGTATGTCTTCTGATTTTTCTCCCTTTCTCTGATTTTAAAAATGTATAATTGTTCTGATAAATAATAATGGAGCAAATCATATGTGGAACTAGGAGATTTCTCAATTGAAAAAAAATTTGACAGCTAATAAATACTTGTTACTTATGTGTTTTATGGTTTTGATTGCGTATCGAGTATATAAAACCATATAAAGTTCTTCTGATAACACCGAGGGTCGATTGTTCCCTTTCACACCAGTGAAATTTCAATGTTATTTACGACATAATTTCCTTGACACATAACACCATCCCAGATGTCGAATAATTCTATTATTCGTCCTGTCATCTAACTGCATTAATTTTGTACTAAAATTGGATTATCAGCGAACACAGATACTACAGTCTGTGCTAGCTGATATTACCTTCTAAAAAGTGTTCAAATACAAATACTCTTCTTCATCTTATAAATTATATTCAAGTATAAAACCATACATGTTTATAAAAAATACTTGCTTAAAAGTATTTACAAACAAATATAAATACTTAGTTTGTGATTTTTTATCGGAAAAAATATTTACATCATTATAATTGGTATAACAACATTCATGTACATATTCTATTGAGATGAATTGCCTACAAATAAATCGCTTATGGACAAAAAAAATTATCACATGCATTAACTGAAAAGTATTTCAAATACAATTACAGAATACTCTATGACTATGGTAAATGAGTAATGAAGAAATTGATTATATAGAAATAACTCAATAACTAACTAGTTCAAAGTATTTCTAACTAAAAAAAAAATTATCTATATAATAATGTCAAATTTAAATGGATTAACTGCGTTGTTTTTGTTAAAAAGGAATCCATTGCAGTTCTTATTGCAATAACATATTAAATACATTCTGATAATTGACTACTAACATTTGAACTGACGTTGAGTATACAGTGTAGGGCGTCTTCACACTATGCCCCAGGTGAAAATTTCTTTTCACACGGCCTTATGCAAATTATTATTTATTTTCCGATTTAGAAACCATATCAAAGACAATGGCGACGCTTTCACTGAATATTAGCAGTTGTAGTTTTCATTTTTTGTCAAAAAAAGTGCTATATATGTATAAAAGAACTGTAACTATCGGTTTATTTGCATAATTATCGTGTCGTTACAAAATTTCTAAATTTACGTGTTCCTCTTGCTGTAATAATTATATCCTACTTTTTATCTAAATAAAACATGTTAAGTCCCAAAGGTGTTTGATTGATATGATAACTGAATGACATATGCAATCCTACGCTTGTGTTGTTTATGTAATCAATTACTACATACAGAAAAAATTGTAGATGTGAATATTAATAGCAAATGTGTTGAGTATGAGTAGACGATACACAAAATTAAAAATTCGGATTAAATATATTTTAATGTTTCAAATATCGTTGAGTGTAGATAATCCTACACAAAAAGACTAACGTAAGTATAAAAATTCATACAAAAAGGAAATTTGTAAACATGTACTTGTAATATTGACTAATAAAAAAATACCAAGCTGATTGTAAATAAATTATGAAACTTAAGATAAAATTGGATTATGCAATAGTTCCGTCAAATATTTTTACGCAGTTTCTTGAACAACATGTATTAAAAATTAATTATCTTAAATGCGTTTGAACCAATTAATTAGATGCATAATTTCAATCCGGAAGACTGTAGCCAATGCTATAAATGTATAAATTTAGGCGAGACTTGATCATCGAAGAGTTAATTTGGAATAAACTGTAGTAAATTTAGAATATGCAATTTTAAAGATTTTTGTTAGTTTTTTGCTTATACATTTTTATTTTAATTGCTTATAATAAATACTTACTGTTCTT